CCCTGCGGGTCACTCCCTGGCCGGGGCTCGAACTCCTGTGGAAACAGCTGCTCACAGCTGGCAGTGCAGACTCAACCCCTTGGGGCAGGGCTGCTGTTACTTTGTTTTCTTGCCCAGTTATGATAGCTCAAAACTCCTGGTGAGTGTGAATAGTAACAACATTGTCTCTCTCCTAGTTAAACAGGAGTTGAGTTAGCAAAGAACTAGTTCACATGATTCTGCTCTTGGAAAATACTGCTTTTGGAAATACAGTGTTGGGCTCTTTCCTACTCCTAATTTCCTTTGAATGTTCATCCATCCTGGCTCAAGGACAGTTAATCAATTACAGGGTGACCCAGGCCACAAATTCCTGCTTCCCAGGAGCCCGGGAGTCCTGTTCCCCCCCCCCCAACTTCCAAATCTGGCCCCTCCCGACGTGTTCAGAGATGTGACAATCCCAGCGAGCTTGGGACGCAGCATTAGAAAGAAGCCAGCTTTCTAGCTCGCCCCAGGAACTCCTGGAAATGTGCAAAGGCTGAAGGAGGTGACCAAGTCCCTGGCTCTCTCTCCTCAGGGACAGGAATTGACATCCCTGTCCTCCTCCTCCTGATTGATGGTGATGAGAAGATGTTGAAGGTACAAGGAGTCTGTCCCCCTCCCCCACGCACCCCCTCCCCCGCAGGGGAGGGAGCTTGGGCCCAGATTCTGTGTGCTGAGCCTCAGGGGAAGAGGGGCTGGGGTCTGGCCTCCTGTGGGGTGACTGTCCGCCTTCCCTGACCCGACACCACCTTTTTCCTGTAGCGGATAGAGAACGCCACCCAGGCCCAGCTCCCCTGCCTCCTGGTGGCTGGGTCTGGGGGAGCTGCAGACTGCCTGGCAGAGATCCTAGGAGACACTCTGGCTCCAGGGAGCGGAGCGGGCAGGCACAGTGACACCCGAGATTGGATTCGGCGCTTCTTCCCCAAAGGGGACCCCGAGGTCCTGAAGGCCCAGGTAAGACGGTGGGGACCCAGCAGGTCCTGGCTCCAGGGCCTTAAGAAGTGAGGGTTCCTGCAGCTGAGGGGAGAAGGCGACAGGGACCCAACCTGTGGGTACGCAGGAGGGGTGGAGGCTGGGCCTGACTCCTGGGCCTGCGGGGAGAAGGGCGGAGGTTCTGGGGCGCTGCCCGGCAGTGGGCGCGGGGGCTGGCCCTCTGCTGTCTGTGTGGCCAGGCCCAGGGCCTGGGCGGGCCACAGGCTCTGGGGTTGTGCAGGTGGAGCGGATCATGACCCGGAAGGAGCTGCTGACCGTCTACTCGTCTGAGGACGGCCCCGAGGAGTTCGAGACCATCGTGCTGAAGGCCCTCGTGAAGGGTGAGGGCCTGCACTCCCAATCCCCCTTCTCTCTCAGCTCGGTTTGGAAACCTCTCCCGGCCTGACCACGTAGCCATCTTGTTTCACCGGGGGTCTGGGCCATTCCTCCTCTCTGCGCTTTTCTCGTCCTCCTTGTAGGGTTTCTGGGGGCTTTGTACGGTGCTGCAGCTCAGGACACTGTCAGTAGGCTCCAGCTTTGCTTTTTTATGCTGGATCCGCCCTCCAGCCGCCCTCCCACCCACCTCGCCACCCCCCCCCCCTTACTCTTTTGCCTTCCTACATCCCCCAGCCTGGTAAGCGCCCGGGGTGGGGGCACAGAGGCGACTGCTGTGCCCTTTCCCGGGAGTCATTCCTGGTAGTCCACCCAAGGCGCCAGGACAGCCCAGGAGGGAGTGGCCATCGGGTAGGCGCCAGAGAGGGGGCTTGTTTATTCATTCACCAAACATCATCCTCGGTTTCAGCGATTAAAGCAGACCTGTCTCCTGCTCCCAAGGACGCCAGATCCTATGAAAGTTGTCTGGACATAATCTTGAGTAAAAAGTTTTTTTTTTTAAGATTTATTCAGAGGTGCAGGGTGAGAGGATTCACCAGAGACAGTGGGGAGCAGAACAGGCGGATGGACTGAGATCCACTGCTGGGGGAGCAGCGGGGAGACAGGCGAGGTCTGCTGCGCCCTGGGGGTCCCTCCCCGGCCGGGGATCGAACTCGCGCTGCAGGGGCTGTGGGCAGCCTCCCAGTGCTGCGCTCTAATCCGCCGCACCACCGGAGAGGGCCCGCCGGAAGAGTGTTATAGTGAAAACTCCCACTTAGATAAACATTCACAGGAGACACAGTGTGCGTTTGTGGGTCTCAGCCCCTCCTCTGCCTCATTCTGGGCTGTGCCCATGGAGCAGTTACTTTGCCTTTGGAATCAAGCTGACTCTGCAGCTTGGCCGCTTCTGTGCTGTGTGACTCTGAGAGAGAGACGGTCTCTTTGAGTCTCAGTTTCCCTCTTTGAAAAGGAAAAAGGAGAGCGGACCTTGCCGGAGTCCAGTGCGCCTCAGAGGCAAGCTGAGGCCGGGATGGGAGCGCGGTGAGAGGGACAAAGGACCCCACCTCCTGTGGTGGCACGTCCCCAGTGTGACTCCCTGGACGGCAGTTAACTCCCTGGCCTCCTGGGGTGGAACACGGCCAGCTGCTGCATCTGATGTGGTTTTGGGGGGCGGTTAGGCCACTGCCTTCGGAAGGGGAAGTGCCCATGGGTGCGGGGGACTGGAGAGGGCGGCAAGCTGGGTCGGTGGGGGCTCAGCAGGGAGCGTCCTCTGCGTGGCTGTGTCTCCTGCCCTGGAGAGGCAGAAACAGGCCAGAGGCCTAAATGCCACCTCACTGCGCCCAGGCTTCTATTCAGGGGTGTCCGGTGCCACGTCCACAGCGCAGCACGGGTGAGGGGCCCAAGGGGACGGTGTGAAGGGAGGGGAGAGGCAAGACCAGTGAGGTGGGTAGGGCCAGACCCCGAGGCCTCGCCTGGACTGTCTAGGGAGCAGGGGCAGGAGTCGAGACCACGCAGGAAGGAAGAGACGCCTGAGGGTGCTGGGGCCGTCGGGACAGTTAGGGGGCTGGAGAGATGGGACTTGGGGTCCGGAGAACCGTGGGGTGTGAGGGGGGGGAAGGGCAGCCCCGAGGGCCTCTTCCTCCTGACCTGGGTGGACAGAGTAACTGTGGTTGAGACGGGGAGTCCGGGGAGGACGGCTTTTGAGCCTGGGATGGTGCGCTTGACGGCCTGGGAGCCGGCCGAGACACGGTGACCTGCTACAGCAGAAGCCACGGCACATAGGATGAGCCATTTCGATGGCGGACAGCCACAGAGAGCCTCATTTGGAATCCTTTTCTGGGTCGTGCTAAGAAATGAAGCGGTAGCACGCTAAGGACGTGACTTCCTCTGCAAGCTCTGTCCTCCATGCAGGTGCTGTGGAGCAGCAGCAACCCACTTCCACCCCCTTCCCCCCCCCCGGCAGGGCCCTCTGTCTTCACCGGTGCCAGTGCTGCCAACTGGGCAGCACTTAAGACACACAAGGGAACAGTCGCTCAGGGTCAGTGGCCAGAAAGCTTCCCTCCATCTTGGGGCTGCTGGGAGCCAGCTTCTCGGTACCCAAGGCCGTCTCCACCCACCAGGCAACCTTGTTCTGTGATAGCAACTTTTTGCAGCAACTAAAATGAGTGACAGTCTCTCCTAGCTCTGGAAATGGGTGTGGAGCAGGAGACAGGAAGTGGGGGCTCCGTGGGGGGCTTGGGTCTCAGACCCCGCTTAAGAATGACATCAGGGTCTCCAGAAATGTCTGGACTTTTCCCCCAAGCTCATTCTCTGCTGCTCTGGTCTTTCGCCTTAAACGCCAGGCACCCCAAATAGCAGCCAACACCCGGCTCCCTCTCCCTTACTCTTTCAGCCTGCGGGAGCTCCGAGGCCTCAGCCTACCTCGATGAGCTGCGTCTGGCTGTGGCCTGGAACCGCGTGGACATCGCCCAGAGTGAACTTTTCCGGGGAGACATCCAGTGGCGGGTGAGAGGCTGGGGGCTGAGGGCTGGGGAGCCCAGGCAGGGCGGGCACTCCTTCCTCCCTGACCTGTCCAGCATCTGGCCACATCTCCCAGTGCGACCTGCCCGGCCTTGCCTTAATCGCTCATCCGCCTCTGACTGACCACCTGCCCCGTCTTGTTCCTTCTCTCCGGTCCAGCCATCCATACACCCACCCACCCTCGCATCCACCCACCCACCCTCGCATCCGTCTGACCATCCATCTGCAGGTCCCTGCACGCACGCGCCACTCAGCTCTGCACCCGCGTCTCCTGTCCCGAACCCCGGCCCTCACCCGGCCCTCTCTGTCTCTGCCCTCCCGCATTCCTCCCCCGCGTGCCAGTCCTTTCACCTGGAGGCCTCCCTCATGGACGCCCTGCTGAACGACCGGCCAGAATTTGTGCGTTTGCTCATCTCCCACGGACTCAGCCTGGGCCACTTCCTGACGCCCGCGCGCCTGGCGCAGCTCTACAGCGCGGCACCGCCCAGCTCGCTCATCCGCAGCCTCCTGGACCAAGCGGCCCACGGCGCTGGCACCAAGACCCAAGACCTTAAACCCTCTGTGGAGCCCCGCCCCCCGGACGTGGAGCAGTTGCTGCGGATGCTGCTGGGGGAGACCTGTGCCCCGAGGTACCGCGTGGAAGACACCCAGGGACATCACCACAGCTGCCCGGAGAACGTGAGGACCCGCGAGCCTGGAGAGCGGGAGGGACGGGGCGTGGCTGTGTCGGGCCGTGGTTATGCATGGGCGTGGCTACGCGGGGAAGGTGGTTTACCTGGGCGTGGCTATGCCAGGAACATGGCACACCTGGGCGTGGCCATG